TTTTAAATTCTAATATATGCCATTGTATTTATATTTATTTAATTTTAACAATTTTTGTTCGATATAAAGATTATATACAAGGTTAAAGATCTATGATACATCTTTATTGACAAACAGTATATTTTAGTTACTGTTTTTCCAAGTTTGATTTCATTATAAAGAATACAAATGTCTAGTATCATTAAGTTATAAATTAAGATACATCAATAATGATTATTTCATATTTAAATAATTTTTCAGAACCTCATGTACTGCTATTTCGTAGACCAAGGACAGTTGCTTTAATCAATACAAGAACTGCATCTTTTCAAAGAGAATATCAAAATGTATATTGTGTTTGATATAAATTTTTAGGAGCTCTGAATATTATTTAATGATAAATATGAAGCATAATAAATTTCTACAAGTTAGCATAATTATAGTTTAAATGGCAATAATGGTTTTTTATTATGATCAAGTGTTTGCTAGAATTTACATGAAAGATATCCTGGTGAAAGTTGTTATGAAATTTTTGTGCACAATGAAATATAACACTTAAAGGAACATATCATTTTGGTATGTAATAACTCTGTGTGTAATAACAAAGACAATAAAATCTTTTACACTTAGGTCAAATATGTACAATTAATTGTAAGTTTGTGAAATTTATAACAATGTATAGTTAGTCACTGTACAGATACAAATTATAAATGCTAATACTTTGAAAACTACGTTGAATTGGAAAACCTGCTTTTAGAGGTTTTAATTAAATGGAAGGGGACACTAGCTCGTGCAGGTGTAAGTTCGCTAAATACAAACGTTAAGGTGAGTTGGATTTTTATAAATGACAGAGTATATTTTTTTCTACAAAATGATAGAACGTAACGGGACAAATTCAACGATCTCATATGTTGTATAATTTTATTGGAAAATACAAAGATAAAACGTAAAGAAACATTCTATTTAATCCCTTAACGTTTAACAACGAGTCAGACTCGTGGCAAAGATTCTGGTGAAGATATGAGAAAAATAGTTACATTAGTAAAAAAAATTAATTGTAATCCTATCTTTCGTTTTAATTTGCAAGACTGAAGATTACTAAATGTAATTAATCTGTAACAGATTAGCTTTTGTTACCTGATACAGTACTGAAACAGTAAATGGCTGACGTTTAGATGTATAGTCAGAAAAGAAATCATAGGTTAAGGGGTTAATGAAGTAACGTAGGCACCTTGCACCAATCTAGAAATACTGTCCTGCCCATCCACGCATTCACTTGGGATTTAAAAATTACGGACAAGCTAATAGAATGTTTCAAAGTGGGATTTTGTGTCTATATACACACTAAGGGCTTAATTTTGTGTGTAGCTAATGCGTAATTCTGTCCTTTAGAAATTTACCACCACTTATATTTTGTTCTTCGTCTAACGTGAGTG